TGAAATATAGGTCTACTTTTTCTGGTAGCCCCCATACAACGATCCCCCCATTTTTCGGTATTTTGGAGAATTTTTGAATTTACTGCAATTCGGTACATTGGGTTCGTATTGGGAATTCCCAACCATCGGTGTAGGTCCACATTTTGAAATAGTCCGTATGTGTATACCCTACACAACTATGTTGTTAGGGTATTATAGCTTTGTGCAGCCGCAAGATTTTGTAACGCCGCGAAATATTGGTCCTAGACCCACCTTTAAGTATACCCATCGTCATATCTCGACCAGCTGAGTCGATCTAGACATGTGTGTCCGTCCGTCTTTCCGGCCACAGTCACGAAATTTTGCATTTAGAATGGGTTCTGCCCAATGAAGACCCCTATTTTTTTTCGTAAAGATCGTTTAACATTTCGGGTATGAAATGGACGAAACACGTTAATTTTGTCTGATTTTCTGTTCGCTCCAGAGCCCGCAATTATGGCCCGCGAATTTTTACATGGAGAAGGGGATCAGGCCAAAGAATATGCATGCTTGCTTTGATAAAGATCGGTTAATATTTAGCGTGTCAAATGGACCCTGACTTTTGTGTGAAAAAATACAAAATTTGTATTATATAGAGTATATATTTACCTCTAAAGGACATAGACCAGAGATAGTATATCCCTTTGGATTGATACCAATTTTATTGTTGTATGTACTCGGATGTGGGAGCTATACATAAATATTTACATTTGTCTACGTTTTCATTATTTAGTAACCCATTTCAACACTGGAGGGCGGAAATATACGGCTGATCGCTTTGAAATGTTCTATTAAGTTCCAGTTTTGGTCTAGAACAACGCCTATAATTTTCGGTGATGATCAGATAATGATTTTCGTGGAAGTTGTGTAGGGTATCATATGGTCGGCCGCCTATACTGCTCCGCTCACTGGTTTTATTTCAAGTAACTGTCAATATACCTTGTTTATGTGATGTTTGGTCCAAAAATGAAGCAATATATTTAAAGGAGGACTATATTAAAACGTGCATCTTTACTGAAAAAACAAAACGCTTAACATTCCAAGAATCCCTAATGCCAAATTACAGTCGTCTCTGTGGGAAAATACGACTAAACAATTCAAAATTCCGAAATAGAACCTGGGAACTCATCTAAACGCTTTAAACATGGTGAGCCGAGCGAAAATCACTGACCAAATATTTTTTCTGTACGTTCGGGAAATAAAATAAGTTATCATAAGCTATATAGTAAATCAAATACATTTTTTTGCCAGCATAACATTCACTTCTTTGATTTGCGAACTTCACCAAAGACACCACTAATTGTGTTGTTTCACTCAAAAATAAACGTCTTACGATGCTTCAAAGGAAAAGTCGCAACATGTCCAGCTTTGTGTACTTCTAAGGGGTTTACAACATTTTTACAGGGTTTCCAACATTCATCGACACATGTCGAATACATCATCGCATTTCCCATCATCCGACCATCTCTGGATGTGTCATATGTGGGAGTTTGATAAATGAAAGGATTTTATACTTTGCCCAGAATGAATTGACCGCACTTTGCATAGCTTTGCATTGAGCTTATGTGCGGGGGGTTCCAACAATGGATAACAGCTCGCCCACAAAAGGAGTCAAGGACCATGCGATGGAAAACAAAAATTGGATAGGTTGTGTAAAAAATGCGAATATGTTTGCAAATAAATGGAAACGTTGAAGTGGGAACCCTTTTAATATATTTTCTTACAATATTTACTCAGAATTAAAAAAAAACACATAACTTCCCTACCGATGTCCCTTCCCCATCCAATGTATATACATAAATATATTATGTTATAGGAATCCATTTAAAATGTGATGATGATTTGGTTCACATGCGTCATATCACATTCACGTCGATTCGAAGAAAACGGCTCCCTGTAAATGTGTTGTTTTTTGTTGAGTTCTGGGGAATGGCAAAATGTTTTTTTTTTTTGTTTCTTTTTATTTCCCTCTCAAAGAATGTTGAGGCTGTAATGGGATACGGATTTATCCTGCTGTTTATACAACAATTTTCCTATGTCGAGTTTTAGCATTTGATCCGGTTTTAATGGGTCAGCAGCGTAACCATTAGTATCATGATAACCCACAAATGGAATGCCGAACATTAGTTTGGTTTGAAAGAGAATGTAAAATGAAATGGTCAAGATGACGTTGGTGGTTCTTCGTGTGTATGTATGGGACATACATGTATATAGATGACTCATTTTGTGGTCGGATGGAGAAATCGCAATAGATATCTTGCATGCGGGATAGAAGTGTTTTAATTGAAGAAATGAGGTAATTGTGTTCCAAGAAGCATGGAAATATTCATTGATAGGAAATAAAAGCTATGAAGTACATATATCGATATATCTATAGAAAAAATAGGATTTGTGGTCCCGTAAATTTGTTTCTATACAATATGTAGGACCTGTGGTGTTTATTCTGTGAATTTTTTTCTATAGAAAAAAATAGGACTGTGGTGTTTATCCTGTGAATTTTTTTCTATAGAAAAAAATAGGACCTGTGGGTCTGTGAATTTTTTTCTATAGAAAAAAATAGGACCTGTGGGTCTGTGAATTTTTTTCTATAGAAAAAAAATAGGACCTGTGGGTCTGTGAATTTTTTTCTATAGAAAAAAATAGGACCTGTGGGTCTGTGAATTTTTTTCTATAGAAAAAAGAAAAAAAATGAACCCAAAGGTCTGTGAATTTTTTTCTATAGAAAAAAAGGACCTGTGGGTCTGTGAATTTTTTTCTATAGAAAAAAAGGACCTGTGGGTCTGTGAATTTTTTTCTATAGAAAAAATAGGACCTGTGGGTCTGTGATTTTTTTCTATAGAAAAGAATAGGACCTGCTTTGGGACTGTGAATTTTTTTCTATAGAAAAAAATAGGACCTATGTGTCTGTGAATTTTTTCTATTAAAAATAGGACCTATGGGTCTGTGAATTTTTTTCTATAGACAAAAATTGGGCTTATGGGTCTGTGAATTTTTTTCCTATAGAGTTTTATAGGAGAAATAAAATTTAAAAAAATTATGTTTATATGATCCTTGGCACAATATTTTTAAACAAATTAAATGTATAAATATTGCGGTGGTTTATGTAAGCCAGTGTCATATTAATTATAAAAACCTAAGTTTTTTTTTTGGTGATATGTGGGCCAACCAAATGTGCAACAGGGTCATGTGCACCAACGAAATATCGTTGAATTTCATTTCAAATCCACTTAAATATTTTCAATGACACGAACACGTTTATTTCCGCCTATCCGGCGTGTTTTTTTTTGCACTTTGTGTGGTCTTGCTTCTATGGCATTTTAACATGTTTGTGTGTATAGACGTGTGTGTGTGTAAAAAGACCAGATATTGTATGTGTTTGTTTTCGTTATTTGTTTTCAGGTCAAGTGTGGTCACATATGTGGACGTTTCAGTTATCCTGGTATTATGGAGGCTGCCTACGGCAAATACGGCTACTACCTATTGTCCTTGCTGCAATTTATGTATCCATTCCTAGGTATGTATGTGTGTATGTATTACAAATTGTACGTCAACAATTTTAGTTGCAGTGAGTGCTGGTGTCTGAAATCTTTAAAATCTCCACTAAAGCCATATTTAAAATAAACATTTATTGTATAAAATCCAATAACCATTACAAATGCGACTAGTATTCGGTAAATCATGCGACTAATTCGTGTAACGGAAATGTTCAACAATAAATTCACTGCACTTAAAACTAAATGGCATTTTGTGTTGATATGTATCTGTGTATGTATGTACGTATGTGTGTTTTGTATTTGTTTATATTTCCGTAATTACAGCCATGATTTCCTACAATGTTGTGGTTGGTGATACTATGTCTAAGGTGTTGGTACGCCTAATACCATCGTGGGGCTCTTCAATGGGTGCTGTACGCCTGGGTGTGGTTTTCTTTGTAACGGTGGGCATTGTGGTGCCGTTGTGCCTCTACAAGAACGTTTCCCGCCTGGCAAGAGCAAGTTTTATTAGCTTGGCCTGTGTGGTTTTTATACTCTTCGCTGTGATTATCAAACTTATTTCCGGTGATTATAAAGTGTAAGTATTTGTATCAAGGTGTCAGTTATCCTTGGCAGAAGGAATGCTACTTTTTTGTATGCAAACAAAAAAATAAAGAAAGTATAAATTAAATGAGTATCAAAATGTTGAAATTGTGCACGATATTAATATTTATGACTGCGATAAATAAACTCTAATTGTGTTTATAGACTTTTATAAACAAACATATGTCAAGGTTTATGTGCGATATACGCTACGCTCGTTATGTACGCAGGATATTCGGAATATCTATGAATTGATATTTTTGGAGAAGGCATGATAATACATTTTATAGTAAAAATACACCTGCGTGTTAGAGAATTTTTTGTAGAAAACAGTAGGATATGACAATTATTCTAAGACCTGAAGGTCTGTGATTTTTATACCCTTCATCACACTGTGGTACAAGGTATTATGTCTTTGTGCATATATTTGTAACATGCAAAAATAATCGAGATAAACCCATGTTTCCTTTTGGGAATATGCATAGAATCACTTTCTGAGTCGATTTATGGATGTCCGTCCGTCCGTCTGTCTGTCTGTTGGTGTTAAATGGTAAACAAAGTACAGGTCGCATTTATGATCCGAATTGGATGAAATTTGGCACAGCTCACTTGTTTAGCCCAAGGACAAATCCTTTTGAAATTGGGAAAAATCGGTTCAGATTTAGATATAGCTCCCATATATATTTTCGTCCGATTTAAGGTAAATGGTGCACCAAAGTCCCTAAATAGCTTTCGATTTGCACGAAATATTGCACAGCGTACTGAAAATCGGTTCAGATTTAGATATAGCTCCTATATATATATATTCGTCCGATTTAAAGTAAATGTTGCACCACAGTTCTTAAATATCTTTCGATTTGCACGAAATTTGGCATAACGTATTGAATTGAGCATAGAGTGATATCTTCCAAGTTTAGAAAATCGGTCCAGATTTAGATATAGCTTCCATATTCGTCCGATTTAAGGTAAATGGTGCACTAAAGACCCTATATGTCTCTCGATTTGCACGAAATTTAGTATAACGTAGTGAATTGAGCCTATAATGACGTCTGCCAAGTTTAGTGAAAATCGGTCAACATTTATATATTGCTCCCATATATAGTTTCGTCCGATTTCATGTAAATGGTGCACCAAAGTCTTTATATATACTTCGATTTGGACGAAATTTTGGATAAAGTATTGAATTGATCCAAGAGGGATGTCTGCCAAGTTTCGTCATAATCTGTTCAGTTTTAGATATAGCTCCCATATATAGATTCGTCCGATTTCATGTAAATGGTGCATCCCTATATATCATTCATTTAGTCCAGACTGATGTGTGCCAAGTTTCGTGAAAATCGATTGAGATTTAGATATAGCTGCCTTATATTATAGATTGATTTTATGTAATTGACGCACTAAGGATCCAATATATGGCTGATAGGAACAAAACGTACTGAAATTAGTATGACCTAACCTGTGACAAGTTTCGTTGAAATCGGTTCATATTTGGATATAACTTCCATGTATATTTTCAGCCGATTTTAATTAAATTGGACATGAAACTCCTCTTGTTAGTCAGATTGACATCAAATTTTGCACAACGTACAAATTTGAGCATAGAATTACGTAGTTGCATTTTCTAGAAGTACAGACATAGCCTAGCGGATGACCTATTGATATTTGTTTGAAGTCGATTGATCTGAGTCTATTCACATTTAAATAAACATTTTATTTTATCCAATTTCATACCCATAGTGGTGAAGGGTATCATATAGTCGGCTCCGTCCGACTTTACTACTTTCCTTACTGGTTTCATTTTGGTCTGTGATTTTTTATAAAAAAATGCCCTTATGCCCAGGGTCCAACTATTTCTACAGAAAAAAATTCCAAGAAGTTCGGGTACTAGTTTTTTCCGCGGAAAAAATCCCCAGTTTTTTCCATGGAAAATGAGTTCACAGGCAATCAGGGTCCTCTTTTTTGTAAAAAACACACACACACGTCTTTTTTCTATAGAAAAATGCGCAGACCCCAGGGATCTGCGCATTTTTTGTATTGAAAAAAATAGGACCTGAGGGTCTGTGAATTTTGTTCTATAGAAAAAATAAGACCTGTGGGTCTGTGAATTTTTCTATAGAAAAAAAAATAAGACCTGAGAGTTAGTGAATTTATTTCTATAGACAAAAATAAGAACTGAGAGTCTGTGATTTTTTTGCATTAAAAAATAAGACCCGAGGGTCTGTAATTTATTTTCTGTAGAAAATAAAGCCCTTAGAATGTGTGAATTTATTTCTGTGCATTTAATGCTTTTATTTTTAGTTTCCACAAGAAAAAATAGGATATTAGGTTCCGTAATTTTTTTACAATACAATAAGAAAAATTTTAAAATTTGCTTTCCGATTATGGTTCCTCTAAAGCGAATCCTCTTTCTTTCTTTGTAACCATTCTGTAACAATACTAAGCACCGACGGCATTAGTCAAACAATCCTCTCGCAAGTGCTTCACGCTGTTAAATAGCTTTTATATGGAGCGTAATTGCAACAAATTGTTTCTTACAAATGCCACATCACGAAACAACAATAGCAAGTGGATCCTTTACAAAATAAAATAAAAAATAGCCACTTTTGTTGCTTTTCAGGTGGAATATTTATTCACCATTTTGAAAGGATTTAGCTGTAACAGTAAACAGTGAATTGTTCGCCGACAAAAGCGATGTTAACAAGTGAACGTGGTCTTAACTCTGGTGGGGTCATACTTAACGTTAAAGTGAAAAAGGCAATAGGGATATATAAAGAAATGTAGTCGAGAGTTGTAAAATTCCTTGGCCAGTGGGAAAGTACAATCTAAATTGAAAAATATTATTTCCCGTTTAATAATTAGGTTAATTGAGCACAATGAAACAGACATAAGTTATTCCAACCATACTCATTAATAGCGATGATATTAGTATATCAGTCCTTTATTATCAGTGACCTAACTAATATCCGTAGAAGTTACATTTTTTATTCACTTGTTTAGAGTAGGAATTTTCTAAGACGACTAAGACACTTTAAACAGATAATATTTTGTGCACCAAAATTTCGAACAATATACTATTCCCAACTAGTTTCATAGGTATTCAAGCTTTACACAATAATCAGGGCCGTTTGACCCGCTATAAAAACCCATAAAACCTTCGTTTGCGGGTTGCTATAGCTCCCATATAAATGTACCGACCAATGTTCGAGATATTTGAAGGCTTTTCCCACGATATAGCTGTAATTTGGTATAAAGGATTTTTGGGTGTATTTTCCCATTGTAGTGGCTGTAATTTGGCCTTCGACAATTCAATATAGATTCAGGTTTTGATTTCGCCTCCACACAATGTTCGGTATTATTAAAATTCTAACCGGATTTTTTCTACAGACAATGTTATGTAAATTGGAATATTATTTTTATTCAGGACATGAGCAACCTACTTCCACATCATGAAACAAGATGGAAAGTTAAAGCCAATAAGTAAAGTAGTAGAAAAATCGGACGGAGCCGACTATATGATACCCTTCAACACTATGGGTATATTAAACAGGGCTATTAACATGAAATTGAATGAACTAAAATATGTTATATTTATCTAAATATGAATCGACTCAGATCAATACATAAACATGTCATTCGTTTGTTACAATGGTACAAAAGTATCTAAATCGACTTCAAGCAAATATTAATAGGACATCCGTTGGGCTATGTCTATACTTCTGAAAAACGCAACTACGTATTCTATGCTCAATTTTGTGCGTTGTGCAAAATTTCATGTCAATATGACAAATCTCAACCTAAATCTATGCAATAATAGAACTTTGGTATATTATTTACATTAAATCGAAAGAAAAAAAAAAATATATATATATATATATATATATTTAGATCTGAACCGATTTTCACGAAACTCAGCACACATCATTCCAGACTGAATTCAGTACGCAAATTTCGTGGAAATCGAAAGATATATAAAGACTTTGCTGCACCTTTTCCATTAGATCGGACGAAAATATATATGGGAGCTATATCTACATCTGAACCGATTTTCACGAAACTTGGCAGACATCACCCCAGGCTAAATTCAGTACGTTATGCCAAATTTCGTACAAATCGAAAGATATACAGGGACTTTGGTGCATCATTTATATTAAATCGGAGGAAAATATATATGGAAGCTATATCTCAATCTGAACCGATTTTCACGAAACTTGGCTGACATCACTCTAGGTTCAATTCAGTACGTTATGCCAAATTTCGTGCAAATCGAAAGCTATATAGGGACTTTGGAGTACCTTTTCCATTAAATCGAACGAAAATATATATGGGAGCTATATCTAAATCTGAACCGATTTTCACGAAACTTGGCAGACATAACTCTAGGCTCAATTGAGTACATTATGCCAAATTTCGTGCAAATCGAAAGATATACAGGGACTTTGGTGCACCTTTTACAATAAATCGGACGAAAAAATATATGGGAGCTATATCTAAATATGAACCGATTTTCACGAAACTTGGCAGACATCACTCCAAAAAAATTCAGTACGTTATGCCAAATTTCGTGCAAATCGAAAGATATACAGGGACTTTGGTGCACCTTTTACAATAAATCGGACGAAAATATATATATGGGAGCTTCATTTATATCTTAGACGATTTTCACGAAACTTGGCTGACATCACTCTAGGCTCAATTCAGTACGTTATGCCAAATTTCGTGCAAATCCAAAGATATATAGGGACATTGGTGCACCATTTACCTTAAATCGGACGAAACTATATATGGGAGCTATATTTAAATCTGGGCCGATTTTCACGAAACTTGGCAGGCATCACTCAAGACTCAATTCAGTGCGTTATGCCAAATTTCGTGCAAATCGAAAGATATATGGGGACTTTGATGCACAATTCGGACGAAGATATATATGGGAGCTATATCTGAATCTGAACCGATTTTTACCAATTTCAATAAGGTTCGTCCTTTCTTACAATTTAA